TAAATAAAAGTAAGAGGAGGGAAAAAGAAAGAGTAGCAAAATGAACAGCAACAACAACTCCGTAAAGAAAGATAATGTCAAGTAAAAACAGTGAAAAACACAGAGACGCAAAGGGCATGTGGATAATGAGCTATTTACGTCGTAGTAAGTAAGGGGCGGCACGGATCTTAAACAGGCGGAGTGAGGTCAGATCCTTAACTTCTCTGGGTAGAGTGAGCCAAACAGAATAGGCAATAAAGAGAGGGGAGCGGAAAAGAGTGGATGAGGTACACTAAGGGAGTAAGAGCGAGTTTCTAGTTCTTAGAGAAGAGAACCAATTAAAACAGATGAGATGAGGTGGGCACAACTCAAGCTCAATAGAATGGACAAGTAAAGCCAGGTGTGCACTGCGTCCATGTGATAACGGGGTTGTGTGAGCGATTTTAAAGGGCGGATGATGAGAGCATGCGGGGTTGACGGAGGAGAATTTTAAGGATTTTCTTGTGGTGTGTTTCAAGCTTTGCAGCAGCAGAAGAGGATAATCCAACCCAAGACGTATCGGCATAATCAAATATTGGGCGAAGGTAGGCTAATTAAAAATGAAGCTTGCAAGAAAGTGGGAGGTAGGAGCAGTGGGGGAAGAGAATTCCTAAGGATTTACTTGATTTTTCACAGATATATTCGATGTGGGGTACCCAAGAGAGTGCAGAGTCAATCACAATGCCAAGGTGTTTGTGAAAAGACACTATGTCAATTGGATTTGGAAAGTTGGCATGGATGAGAGTTGTGAACTCTGGCTGGGGCGGGAAGAGCATGATCTTTGTTTTTGATAGATTTGGGGACAATCTCCAGGACGACATCCAGGAAAGAACTTCCTGAATGCCAGCACACAAGTTGTTTTTATGCCAGTGAGGGAAGCTGATGAGGTGAGAAGGGTCGTGTCGTCAGCAAACAGAGATGTTCCAGGGAAGACTGCAGGTAGGTCGTTTACGTAAATTAAAAGTAGTAGGAGACCAAGAATTGATCCTTGAGGAACGCCTGACAATACTGGCTCTGCAGCCGAGGATGTGCCAAGCACAGTTACGTACTGATAACGCCCAGAGAGATAAGATTTCAGCCAGGAGAGTGGTTGTTTACGTAACCTGAATGCATGCTCGAGCTTGGCCAAAAGTCCTCGATGCCAGACGGTATCAAACGCCTTGGCCAGGTCAAAGAAGCAAATACCAGCAAGCGCTCTGTTATCCCTATGCTGGCACACCTGCTGCACGATGCGGGTCAGTTGAAGGGAGGTGGAGTCGCCTTTACGAAACCCAGATTGTGCGGGACTCAGAAACGGCGAAACATGTCTGTATAAGTGATCATAACAGATGCGTTCACATACTTTGGACACGCAGGGAAGAAGAGAGATAGGGCGGTAGTTTGCAGGTTCGTGGCGGGAACCTTTCTTGTATACAGGTATGACTTTCGCTGTTTTCCATGCAGAAGGGAATATGCCCGTGGTAAATGACATGTTGAAAATATGGCACAAAGGGAATGCTATGGATGGTGCCAGGGCCTTGAGGGCCCGGTTGGGGATGCCGTTGGGACCAGATGCCTTGCACGCGGAAGCTTCTTCAGATGACGCCGGACAGTGGCAGTTGTGGTGATTGCGGACGTGAAACAAGCTGAGGGCTCCGAGGAGTTGAGAATAGGGGGGAAAGAGAGCAACGGGTCATCTGGCCGAGTCACAGAGGCAAACTGGGCGTTTAATGCCGTAGCTTTGGCCAAAGGGTCAGCCGCCTGCTGAGTCCCTGTGGTAAATGAAGGAATTTCCCGTGATACGTTTCGAATTCTTGCTTGTCTCACAAACTGGTGAAGCGATGGACGGTGTCTACCCTGCAAACTAGTTTGCACTGAGCGGATATAAGCTCTGTACTTTGTCCGCGTCAGGGTTTTCACTATATTTCGCTGCTGTTGATATGCTTGTTTGTTTTGTTGTGTTGGGTACTTCTTAAAAATGCTATGGAGTTCATATTTCTACTTGATTGCTTTGCGGAGATGGGCATCAACCCAGGGTGGCTGACTGGACCGTGGGCAGCGGTGAGAATACGGCTGCTTTCCGAATGGCCAGAGGTGCTTCTCAAGGGCAATGTTGAGAATGGAAGAAAAGTGCGAAAGCGCATCATTGACATTGCTGGCGCGCAGATGCCAGCTCCAGTCAATATCAGCGAGCTCTGCATTCACACTATCCCAGACGGAAGATGGCACGGATTTAAAGTCATATTCCGGCTTTGCAGGAACATTCCTGAAGTGGTATTGGGGTGCAGCAGCGGGATGTCCGTTTGCAGCAGGTTCCTCACGATAAACAGCATCAGTAGGCAGTAGGAAGTGACTGAGGATCTGTGCGTGGTCAGGTGCACCAAGAGGAGCAATAGATGTAACAGAGAGTAGTAGGTGAGGATGATCCGTGAGTACAACGTCAATACACGATGTTGAGCCGTGGGGGTAAAGTGTGTGGGGAATGTCACAATTTGCTCAAGGCCAAAACAAGAGAAGAGGTTACGGAACTCACTTCCAGCACGATTCGTGGTGTCTCTAGGAGACCAGTCAGAGTGGCGAGCATTCAAGTCTCCTGCAAGTACAATCGCAGAATTGGGGAGGCTAATATTGGACAGACAGTCCTCTAGGAGGTCACAAAATGCCTGGACTTGGGAGATGCTGTCTCCAGGGGTCTGTAAGCAGAGCAGATGATGAGGGGGAGTGAGGGAAGGATCACTGGCCGCAATCAGAGCCAAACCGCCTCCAGTCCACAGCGCTCAAGGTCGAAGCGGCGCTTGATGGACATGAACGACCTGTCAGCTACAAGAGTAGCAACACTGCCATAGCCTCTTGCTGGCAGGTTATCAGAGCTGGTCGTAGGTGGGCGGTCCAGGCGGTATGACGTGTAGCCTGGAATTGAGACGTCTATGGCAGCTGTCAGCCACATTTCACATAGGCAGATTATGTCTGGAGAATACTGCTCACAGACTTGACTAAGCTCAGCTAACTTATTTACTATGGAGCGGCAGTTAAGTGAGAGCACTGAGAAGGATGAAGGTAATTGGGCAGGTTGATTAGGAGTTTTAGTAGTTTGTCGTCCAGAATCAGGAAGGAACGGTGGTGCAAGTGGAATATGACCAATAGATATAGAAGAAGATGTAACGCAATGAGGGGAAGGATGTGATGAATTTGCGTGGGGCACAAAGGGTTGCGCAAGAGGATTTAGCTGTTGGCTAGGTGACCGAGGACCCATCACTTGCTAGCGGAGTCGGCATAGCGCCATTTGCGGACGGTGTGCGCAATGGTGTCGGGCCCAAATTCCTTTTCAAGCAGCGTTTGCTCAAACTCTCCCGCGACAGAAACGCGTGCATAGCAGGTACCAAAGTATTGGGTTTCGGCAATTGTGCATGTGTATACATCAACGCCCCTATCAGCGCACCAGGTTACAATAGACTGTGCCTTACTTCCAGGACTAACATTCCCGACAAAGAAGGCACATCGCTTGGGAAGATGTGTGCCAATGATATACCCCTACTCACATTAGTCCACGGCTTTCTTTAAAGCGTCCCCTGGTGAGCTACAGACAGCGAAAGCGGGCGGAACATGGACTTCACTTTACACGCATTCTAATAGTTCAACATCTCGCCGCTATGCTGCCCTAAAATGCGATAGCCTTGTGCATCTATAAAACCCTAACTCTGGTCGCCGGGGCATGCAGCCCTTCGCGGTGGTCGAACTATTTACTTAGATTCTTTGCGCGGTGGCGTCTCTTGTGCCCCCCGCCACTGTCGAAAGTCTCTAAGTTGATATACATTTGTCGGCTTCGGCCATTAGTGTTATATCTCGGCTGTTTATCTCCTTCTCGGCATCTTCGGTAAGCCTGGCGACTATTTTTTCATACTTTTACATTGGCGGCTTACATTGGCGGCTTCGGCATAAGTCCATACACTCACACAATTTCGCCAGCACAAGTCTAAGTCCGTACAATATTCTACACCTCTGCGGAACCAAAACCAACCTAAAAACACACTATATACCTCTACTCACATTTTTTATTTTTAGTCCACGGCTTTCTTTAAAGCGTCCCCTGGTGAGCTACAGACAGCGAAAGCGGGCGGAACATGGACTTCACTTTACATGCATTCTAATAGTTCGACATCTCGCCGCTATGCTGCCCTATAATGCGATAGCCTTGTGCATCTATAAAACCCGAACTCTGATCGCCGGGGCATGCAGCCCTTCGCGGTGGTCGAACTATTTACTTAGATTCTTTGCGCGGTGGCGTCTCCTGTGCCCCCCCCCCGCCACTGTCGAAAGTCTCTAAGTTGATATACATTTGTCGGCGTCGGCCATTAGTGTTATATCTCGGCTGTTTATCTCCTTCTCGGCATCTTCGGTAAGCCTGGCGACTAATTTTTCATACTTTTACATTGGCGGTTTCGGCATAAGTCCATACACTCACGCAATTTCGCCAGCACAAGTCTAAGTCCGTACAATATTCTACACCTCTGCGGAACCAAAACCAACCTAAAAACACACTATATACCTCCACCGTTTTTTACATTGCATGAATAAAGTACACAAATGTCGGTTCAGCTAGTTTTATTGATTGCGGTTATAAAATTGTTGTCTCCTCGCCGTGTTTATATACCTCTACTCACATTTTTTTTTTTTTAGTCCACGGCTTTCTTTAAAGCGTCCTCTGATGAGCTACAGACAGCGAAACCGGTCGGGACATGGACTTCACTTTACATGCAGTTTAATAGTTCGACATCTCGCCGCTATGCTGCCCTATAATGCGATAGCCTTGTGCATCTATAAAACCCTAACCTTAACCCTAAACCTGACCCTAACCCCAACCCCAACCCCAACCCTAACCCTAACCCTAACCCTAACCCTTGGCCCAAACGCGCCACCAATCCCAGCCGTACTTCAATTGGAGATTATAAGTATTCTCCTGGGATTGCCACTTTGTGCGCGCTCAGACAGTTGCACACATGACATGCTTTTGAGAAAGAGTGCAAGTACATTAAAGGATTTTCAAAATGGTTCTGGAAAACAGAAAGCATAAGGCAATTGTGCCTTCAGAGGAGCGAAAGCGAACGGCTGAAACGTGCAATAATCATATTTGTGCAGAATTAGGCAAATCAGAGGGCCTGCAGAAATATTACTTTTAATCTAGTACTTCGCTGGTGACGCACGAAAGCCGACTCAAATAGTCATTACATCCAAAAAAAAATTTTTACCCGCCTTTTAAGACAATGAATGACTTTTAGGCAAAGTAACACTTGTCAAAGGGCAAACAATGAAAGCAGACGATGAAAGTTAAGCTACAATGCAGTGCACGAGGTAAAGGAAAGTGGAATGAACGGAAAACTATTCGTGCTGAGCTAAAGAGCATACAGGTGAATAGTGTTATATTGTTAACTCCTCTAAGGTTGGTACAGTCCCATGAGTAGCGCTGGCAGTGAGTGTAGTCTCTTCAAAAGCAACTTCATCCTCATAAGCTTTGTTTTGGATCTGACCAATTTGCAGATCGACCTCAGGCAAATTATATTTGTTTTTCATTCGCCTCAAGAAGACAATTGCCAGTAGGAGCACAGCCAAAAGTCCGAAAGCCAATCCGCCGAAAGTACCACCAATAAGATGAGAAAGAGAGTAAGTCTGTAGGTCTGTAAAAAACAGAGATACACATGTAATGCAAAATGTTCAGTTTTACGAATTAGAGGTTGGTTCACATAAGCAAAATCAGCCCCGTAATACATCGGCGGTGAGCTAGCTCCCGATCAGTTGCGCATACGGTTCGAGTTCCAAAAATTAGAGAGGGTCCGGAGTACGATTTTCGGTGCCAAAATCCGTATGGGCGCTACGGATTTTTTCCAGGTGTGCTTCATACGAATTTTTAGGCACGGAGAATCCGTGTGGACTGGCTTTCATAAGAACCATGTTTCTTATGGAGATTTTGCGTCAATGGGTGCAGAACGATTTTTCGCGTACAAATTTGGTACGAGAAACATCGATTTTCCGCGGGAAGTTTTGATTTCGGTACAGATTTTCAAAGTATAAAGGCATAGCGCGGGAATGTGACATATTTGCGATCGTAACCTAGGCAATGACGGCAAACACATAAGTTCCGTACTCCGGAACATTTCACTGCTCGAAAACGACGTTTAAAAATCCGTAGAGCCTCTAAGGATTGTGACAGGAAAAATCGTACTACGGAACCTCCCTATTATACTAAAAAGTATACAGAATATTCACAAATGCTGCGACAGGTTTGCCGATTGAAGCTTAAAATTCTTTGTTTCTTCATTAGTTTAAGGTCATTCGATGATGGCCACTCGATGATGGCCACTCGATGCTACCTTTTACAGGAGATCATGAAACGACTTTTTACATATTATTTTATTGCGGTCTAGTAAGCGACGGTGTTGAAGTTATGCATGCAGACGTTGATAAAGTGACCACTTGCCAATGTATGTTCTATTTGTTTCAAATGTGTCTGTCTAATAAGTTATACAACAGTCCAGCAGATCATCTGAGAAGGACAGGTTGGTAGGGGTATGTGGATTATGCTCGGAGGATGACCAGATTTTGCACTAACAGATGCTCGCAGAATGTTCGAGAAAACATCAAATTATGCTTTTATATGCTTCACCAAAGGTCATCCTAATAAAGTTATTATTATTATTATTATTAAAAAGATCAAAGAACAGATTATTATTGTTACGAAAAAAGGACTCAGACCATTGTCATGATGTCGATGGGGAGCTTTGTGGAAGTACAAGACAATAATATTCAAGAGGAATACCAGATTCACAAGCAAGAGCTGAATATTTGGGAGATGTGCTATAGTGGCTGCTGGAGTATTATTCCAAATCGACAAGAAGTGCTATGTATGGTCTTTAAATAGCAGGTGTGTATACACCAGCATCATTGGGCATCCGCCCTTATTTTTCAGATGCCATTTTTTTTACTGTTGCTAACAAAGGAATCGATTATGGCAAACATTATGCCCTAAGTTATGCCTTCAATTGCAGATGTATAGAACAGCCTCATTGGGCATCTGCCGTTGATTTTCGGATGCCATTTTATGCTCCTTGTCAAAATGGACCTGACTACGCCAAAAATTATGCCGGCATAAATTGCTTTCACCTACGGATTGGTAATGTTTTGCTTACGCATGCATCTACACAAGAATCATCACCAGCCAATTAGGAAATATGAGCCCCGGCCACGGCAGCCAGCACTTGTGTACTTGATATCAATCATCAAAATGTGACGTCAAAGTTTGGGACACGAAGTGCGCTGCGTTTTGAAGATTCTTTTTCGATCGAGTGGGTGTCTTTGTTGTCAAAGGAGTTTCAAATGTCTTCAAATGAGTCTGCTCAATTGATTTTAGCGCTAAGTGAGAGCTTGTCACAGGGAGGTTGAGTTTAGACTCGGCAATGGCGACAGGTGTCGCGACAAGGTCCGGAGCTGTCAGCGTGAGACTCGCCGTGGGAAGCGCTACTGAAAGTTAGTTCGCGATCGAAATTATTTCTTTGGTGGCGATCTTGCTGAGTTTGTCCACCAATGGAGAGTCTAATATGCATAGCAACGAAGAGCCCTCATAACATCGACACTGAATACTGGTGGCGGTTATAGCCAGTGCTGTAGTAATAGCGACTGCGAGGAGAAGCTGAATGTCAACCTGCTGAGCGATCTTTATTTCTACATCGACAACATGATGTTGCAGACACTGATGACGGGCTTCTCACGACGCAAAAGAGAGACTGCAAGCGTAGTATTGTCTGTACTCTTGTAACCGGTCAGGAATCGATTATAAGAGAAGAGAGCGATTCCAACCATTACAGAGGATAATGAAGGATAGAACAGGAGACGGCTGCGGTGGGAGACGGTGTGAGGGTGATGGAGTGAGAGATAGCACGGGAGAGGGGAGTGAACTATTCTCCCTCCAAAGGGTTCGAGAAACCTGCAATGTTAATTCACTAAACGAATTCTAAACCAAAAGGACTTAAAATTTATCGAAGCTAAATTGATAACACAAGGAACCCAAGGGGTATAATTAATCCAATGATGCCATGGGATTCTATACCACGTCATACAAGAACACAAGCAGCAACAGCAACGGATATGAAGGCAATCTTATGCTTTGTGCAGCCATGCCTGCAGCGTGCGGCATAAGCATAAGCATGAGCAGCTTCAAATAATAATAATAATAATAATTAAAAAGCTTCCGTGGAGATAAAAATGTAATCAACGCAATAAAATAGAGTAAGCTGCGCACTCAGTACAAACACCATAAGCAGTGGCGGGTTTAGGGGGGGGGGGGGGCGCGGGGGGGCGCGCGCCCCCCCCCCCTCAAAAATTTCGACCTAGGTTTCGAAAAATAATACAGGGCGCGCGCCAGGTCGAGCTAGACTAGGCTCGGGGCGCGCGCGGCCTGAAACGATTGTCCAAAAGCGGTTGCACGGTGCGGTGCTCGAGCTGGTGTTGATTGTACACACTACAGTCAGACTACAGTACACTGTACAGTCTACAGAGCTAGAGTAGAGTCTACGTACAGTGAGCATGCACGGCTAGCGGCTACAGAAACACGGTGACCTGACTGTGTACTGTTGTACAGTGTGATCCCTGCTGGGACGCGCTCGACGCGTCTTCAACGGTACAAACATCGAAGAAAAGTCTTCGATCGAGTCAACCAAAACACGATTCGAATGCCGAGGGCTCAGGCGATCATCCTCGTTCGAATCGTGTTTTGGTTGACTCGAAGGCTTTTCTTCGATGTCTCAGGGACATCCCAAAAGGCCAAGCTCTAGCCAGCAGAGCCTGGAATTTTTGTAAAGCGTTCCTGTGGCGGCGCAACTCCTGCTGCCGCTCCAACAGGAAACAGTGGGAGTGATGAAGTTGCTGTTATTCCAGACAATCCAGTTGAACTTTCGGAGCGGACTGACAGTCAAATTCCGCCAGACGTGGAAGAACCTGTTGTCAGCGAGCAGCCAGAACATAAAGAACAGCGCACAGTGACAAGTACCGCTGCCTATGTAAAGGATACTTTGAGAGCGGTGAGAAATTGTTGGACTCGCAAATTTGAAGTTTACAATGTACATTTTGTTGCTGCGTGTACAGAAATACTGCTCGTGGTGTGTGAGATTTACGGCTTGTTGTTGTTGTTTATTTTACTTCACCAAATGCCGGAACAGGCAGAGATGCCTTCTCACCTGCCCATAGGACAGGTTCTCACAGAATGATGAAGGGATGATATGCAAGGAAAACAAGAAATGATAATAATAATATAACTTATAAGACAGAAAGGACCAAAAGAAGAAAGGGAAAAATTTATATCAAGAACAATTTCATGGAGTCAGAAATAGAAAGACAATAATTTCATGGAGTCAAAGAATTGAAAGACAATCTCATGGAGTCAGGAACACGTGGTTGATTTTATAGACATGCATGCACAAATGATTGATAGATGAGAAGGTTGGAATTTATGGCAGATAATAAAAGTTTAACGAGGACAAAGTAAGTATATCAATGGCAGAAAGAGCTTTTCGGAAGGGACCAGGGACACGTATCACTCTAAAATCAGAGGGGAGAGCGTTCCAGAGAATGCTTCCCCAAAACATCATGCTCGATCGTACCGCAGGCCCACGGAGAAAGAGAACTTGAAGCAAGTTCGACACTTGTCCCCGTGTGGTGCGCTGATCCTCCGGAACAGTCTCTGGGGCCGTTCGGGTGAATAACTGTTGAAGAAGGGGCTACAGGAGGAGCTTCTTGACATTGGTTTTCAAAATGGCTGACCTGGGACAGTAGCATGATGTCATCTACCCCCACCCCATCCCGCCTTGATCCCGGCCGCACCCCCCCCCCCCCCCTCAGCAAATTCCTGGACACGCCACTGATAAGCAAAACTTGTTTTCATGTAAATAAAGAAGCTTGTTCCTAAACGTTTTCGTCGCCATCTCATCAGAGGATTACTGGCAAATCAAAAATAGCTCTTAACTCAATATATATATATACGCACAATGCAAGTAATAATTTAGACCCTAACTAGCGCGAGAAAATGAGAGCTGAAAGAAACATTACACCAATCAACGATATCAGGTGACAACAGATGCGATAAATTCACCACTAGAAAGTAACCATGCAACCACAAACGAGAACTACTGATCTAAATTCACAAACAATTTCAACGTAAACAAATTCTTTTTCTGCCTACACAAAATCGGCTTGGTGGTAAAAATGTAGATAGACTCCAATACACGCAAATACCTTTGACTACGTGAACGAGACCAAACAGAAAAGCAATCATCAGCATAACTAGAACGACAATCACTATTCTGAACAAGATGGTTAGCAACAGAAGATTCATACACCCTAACACCGCTACTAGAACCAGTACATACTTTGGAATTACGTGACAATAAAACCGAGCTGACATTCCTTGCCGCTACTGCCAATCCAGACGAGGCCGATGTAGATGTCAGTACCAAAGGCACGTCCGTTACTGGCACTGCCTGCTGCGATGATGCTCCCTTTGACGTTCCAATGGCTGTTGATGTTGATGAAGAGGAGGAGGGAGATGAGGAAGACGCTGACGACGACGACGATGACGACAACGACGGAGACGATAAAGACTCTGCTAACCTCGCCCTAGAGCGAGTCA